CCAGTATATTGTCAACTGTAGGGAAAAATTGTTATAAATACATATTATTAATAACAGTTATGAGATCATATAATTGTGAATGTATATATGAAATTTAAAAAAAAAAAGATGCACCTTTTTCCTCCAAAAAAGAGGGTGAAAATCGGGGTGCGTCTTATACACTGAATACAGCATTTTTGGCTTACCGAAACCCCGCCCCTTTGCAAAAATGGGCGTGTAGAGGTTTTGAGAGGCTTGCAAAGTGCTCCTGTGGACTGGGGAGGGCAAAAATGAGTAAAAAAGGACCATTCCCCCCCTCCCAGCCCCCAGGAGCACTCTACAAGTCTCCCAAACCCTCTGCATGCCCCCTTTTCTTGCCAAAAACAGTGAATTTTTGTGAAAAACTGTGAATTTTTGCCCCCCCCCGGCCTTCGGGGGCACTCTACAAGTCTCCCAAACCCTCTGCATGCCCCCCTTTTCTTGCCCAAAACGGCCCATTTTGTGAAAAACGGACCATTTTTTGCTCATTTTTGCGCCCCCCCAGGCCCCAGGAGCACTCTACAAGCCTCCCAAACCCTCTGCATGCCACCACCACCACCACCACTCATTTTTTTTGCAAAAAAACTGAGATGTGCAGAGGGTTTGGGAGGCCTGCAGAGTGCAAAAACTTTAAAAAAAAATTTACCTCTTCAAAATCATGGTGCATCCTATACTCCGGTGCATCTTATAGTCCGAAAAATACGCTAAGCATCCTGCAGGTCGGATCTGGCCTGCGGGCCTTGAGTTTGACACCCCTGTTTTAGCAATACAGGTGGCTGGCTACCTGTTTCGCCCCAAGCAGGCTACGTTGCTCAGTGTTGGCACTTGGGAATTATCAATCACCTTCCAATTTTCTTGGAAGAGAACCTTTTTTTTATTATTTTATTTTGGTCTTTCCCCCCCTACACTAGGAATCCACCCTGAAGAGCGTCCTCAGTGCCTTGTGGAATCTCTCAGCTCACAGCACTGAGAATAAAACCGCCATCTGTATGGTGGAAGGAGCGCTTGGCTTCCTAGTGAGCACCCTCACCTACAAGTGCCAGAGTAACTCTCTCGCCATCATTGAAAGTGGAGGTGGGATCCTAAGGAACGTCTCCAGCCTCATTGCTACCAGAGAAGACTACCGGTTAGTAATCTCCGTTTTCCTCCTCGTTCCGGTAGCTAACCTTTGCAGCCAGAATCATCTTCCTTCCCCCATCAGTACAACGGTACCTTGGTACTCGATTGCTTTGAAACTCATCGAATTTGGTTCTCAACGCACTTCGATGTGAACATTTTTGTCCCGGCACTCACCATTCATTTGGTACTCAAAGAACAAGCTAGATGGCGAAGCTATGTCACTTCTACCACCTGTGGCAGACGGAGCCATATCTGCCGGCACGCGAGCCGTCAGCTCCTGTGTGCATGCGCACGCCAGCCAGCTGATTTTCGGCCTTTCACAGGGCTGGGGGGAGGCTGTATTCGCCCTTCCCAGGCTTCAGGAAAACATCCGGAGCCTGAGGAGGGCGAAAACAGCCTTCTCAGCCCCCCTTCAGCTTGGAGGCGCATGGGGCGGAGCATGGGGGGTTGTGCATGTGGGGGCATGCGCTTTGCATTATGGGTTCTGGCATGCGTGCATGTACACACTCGCATTTTTGGCACCCAGCAACAAAAACGTTAGCCATCACTGAGCTGGGACTTGTCAGTGATAGCTATGCCTTCTTTGTTTTCTCTAGGATCTGCACTGATTTTTTTTTAAAAAAATAATAAAATAAAAATTCTTTTGGGAACAGGGTGCTGTCTGAATTCCCCCTTTAACATCCCCACCAAAAGACATAATTCATTTTTCATTATATTTCCAATTTTAGCCGTGTTACTTTTCTTCTATTTTCCAATTTCTAGTTTTTAACATGTACAAACAATATAATTTCTCTTTCTCTTTCAAAATAAAACAATTGATCTCCCCCCATCTATTTTCCATTAACGATATGAATCTTCAAGTTTCAAATTTCAAGTTTCATATCATCAACATAACATAATTATGAACAGCTTGAAGGTTCTTAATATAATTCCCACACATTCTAATTAAAACATAAGAGTGTTTTCACCCTGTTAACAATATTTCTTTCTACTGGATCATATCATTCTGCTATTCTCCTCTTTCTAAATTTTCTTTTCTCTTTTTCTTCTTTTTATGTGGATCTGCCCTGATTTTATCTTACCCTCAATCTACTCTTTCCTTAGGCAAACTCTGAGGGATCATAACTGCCTTCAAACTCTCCTCCAGCACCTCAAGTCCCACAGCCTGACCATCGTCAGCAACGCCTGTGGCACTCTCTGGAACCTCTCTGCCCGCAGCCCCAAAGACCAAGAACTCCTGTGGGACCTGGGGGCGGTCAGCATGCTCCGGAATCTCGTCCACTCCAAGCACAAGATGATCGCCATGGGCAGCACCGCAGCCCTCCGCAACCTCCTTGCCAACCGGCCGCTCAAGTATAAAGATGCCATGGTCATCTCGCCAGGTTCTTGCATGCCCTCCCTGTATATGCGCAAACAGAAGGCCTTGGAGGCCGAACTGGATGCCCAGCACTTGGCTGAAACTTTTGACACCATGGAGAAGCAGACGATGAAGAAGCAGAGCGTCGCCAAGAAACCCATGCGTCACATGGATAGCTTGGCCAAGGACTACGCGTCTGATTCGGGTTGTTTTGACGACGATGAGGTGCCCAACGTCTCCAGCAGTACGGAGACTGGAAATGCGTCGGTTCTCTCCATGTTCCTAAATTCATCCTTCCTCCAAAGTCAAACTTTGTCAAGAACAGTTTCCCAAAAAAGAGGCCCGGAACCGGAGAAAGATCCCAGTGGGAAGTCCACGGAAGCCAAGAAGGCCTCCCCGCTGCTCGTGTCCCAGGACAACGACGTCTCCGTAGTGGCTGAGAAATTGGCCAACAAGATCACGACGACCGTGGCCAAGATAGATAAGTTGGTGGAAGACATAACCACTCTCCACACCTCCTCTGACGACAGCTTCAGCCTCAGCTCTGAAGACCACTGCCTTGACTGGCAATATGGCCTGGATGAAGTCCATGAGGCCCGTGCCCAGTCTTGCTCTCCGTGCCGACTCTCGGACACCAGCGGGATTATGAAGCGCGAAAGTCTGAGCCGGGCTCACACCCTCCTGAGGCTGAAGAACGCTTACACGAGCTTGTCCAACGACAGCCTCAACAGCGGAAGCACCAGTGACGGCTACTGCCCGAAGGAACACATGAGGCCATGTACCCGGACCACCTTCTTGGACTTTAAAGATGAACTACACCGGTATCAGAAACGGCCCAGCCGTCTTGACTTGAAGAACATCTTGTTGAATAGGCCAGAAAAGATGGAACTGCCCGAGAAGAGACAGCCAGAATCCAACGTGATGGCGGAGAAACCAGAAAAGGAGACACTGCTTGAAAAAGCCAAGGTGACCAGACTTCCACCCAACCCTGATGTTGCTGAGAAGGAAACTGAATGCAAGAAGAAAGAGGGAGGCAGACAGCTAGATCCTGATCCCAAAGTCCACACAATCAAACTCTCCCCATCCTATCAGCACGTGCCCTTCCTAGAGAACAACACCATAGCATCTGGGACGACGGGGGTCTTGGGAACCAGCTCTTACTACCCCAGTTTATCGATGAAAACCACAGATCATCTGAACAAGGTTCCAGAGAAACTGACCGCAGCAGAACCAGCGAAACAAGAGCGGCTGCAGAAATACTCGATGGAAGAGATGCCCATTTGCTTCTCCCGATGCAGTTCCCTGTCTTCTATCTCCTCCGCCGACGGGCAGAGCCACAGTGAGAACGAGATGGACACGGATTCCTCTCTGGAGATCATCGAGGTGGAAGAAGTGGAGGAAGCTCAGAAGAACAATCAAGAGAAGAAGGCAAAGCAGGAGGTGGAGCCCCTCAACTCATCTTCCCAACCCATCGCTATCCCCTTCCCGAACAAAGAGAAAATGTTTCTTAGAGGAGCGTCACCGTCTCGCCACGACGACCTGACCCCTTCCAGCTCATCTGAAAACTACATCCAGGAGACTCCTTTGGTGATGAGTCGCTGCAGTTCGGTCAGTTCTCTGGGCAGTTTTGAGAGCCCGTCCATCGCCAGCTCGATCCAGAGTGAACCCTGCAGTGAGATGATTAGCGGTACAGTCAGTCCAAGTGAGCTCCCGGATAGCCCTGGGCAAACAATGCCTCCAAGCCGCAGCAAAACACCTCTGTTTGAACTCAACAGCCAGCCGGAGAAGGAGGCCAGCCCGTTCAACATCCAGTGGGAGAACAATGTCAAGAAATTTATGGACATCACGGATTTTAAGGAGCGTTTCCAGATGCCCCAAGACCTCGACTCCATGGTCTACTTCACGGTGGAGAAACCCAATGAGAACTTCTCATGCGCCTCCAGCTTGAGCGCATTGCCCCTCCACGAACATTACATCCAGAAGGACGTTGAGTTGAAACTCATCCCGCCATTCCCAGAAAGGAGCGGGTTGAACTTCATGACGCATGAGAAGAGAGACGACGAACGGGCCATCGAGGGCCAAAGGAAACTGGAGTGCCTTGAGTTGACCTCTGATGAGGATATTGAAATTCTGAGGGAGTGCATCAATTCGGCCATGCCGCCCCGTTTCCGGAAGATCAGGACATCCCTTGTCTCGGGCCTCCCGGGCCAAGTCCTAAACCCTCAGTCAAAGAAGTCAATGCAGCTTCCAGTCTACATGTTGGTTCCTGCCAATTCCCACTTGAGCATCCCCAAGCACAGGTGGGCCACGGTCACCAGACCCAACAAGGACTACCTGGGCAACGAGGATTCCTTCACGGACTCAGCAGAAGGAACCCCCGTCAACTTCTCCAGCGCTGCTTCGTTGAGCGATGAGACCCTTCAGTACCCTATGAAAGACGAGGGGGATTCCCGGCATTGCTCTGGAAAACGAAAGGAAGTAACGGGGGTTCCGATGGGGGGGCTCCAGAGGGAGATCCGCCAGCTTGAACAAAGCAGCTGCCGGATTGGAAGAATCACCTCCAGCCATTCCACACCAACCAAAATGGCCTCCTCCTCTAAGTATAAAACTGGATCGAATCACACCAGCCCACTCCGTGCAACCCGGGCCCAATCCGCCGAGTCCAGGAGAGGAAACATTCCCCTCAGGAACCTAGAATTGACTTTCTTGAGGCAAGGTAGCCCGAGGGCAAGTTCTGAGGGCAACCGTTCCAAGAAGAAGGAGGAGCCTCGGGAGAACAGCAGCCATGACAGTGACGGGGCCTTCCCATCCTTCTGCCACACCACACCAACCGAAGAGGCCGTCTACTGCTTCTATGAGAATGACTCCGATGACCTGGTGGAGTTAGGCATGAAGAACTCACCCAAGAGAAAGCCCAACCTGGCTGGCAAAGGTCAAAACAAAGAATGCTGGGCTAAGAAAGAACCTGAGCTAAATTCCAGTCAGCAGCTTCATGCTAAAAACAAGATGGCGCCCCATCTCCGCAGCAACCTGATTGCAGACGAGACGCCACCATGTTACTCTCTCAGTTCCTCCCTAAGTTCCCTGAGCGATCTCGAACTCTATGGGACTGGAGAAAGGATGCAGATGTCCAAGATCAGAGCTAACCGCCAACTGACCATGAACCGTCGGCAGGGGACGAGAGCCGCCGTGTCCAAAGGGAGGGACAGCTCCGCCAGTTCCCTCAGTTACAATTCAGACAATGACCTCCTGCAGAAGGGCCTCGGCTCGAGCGGGCCCAAGAGGAGACGCCATTCAGCCAAAAGGAGGAACGTGGAGAAGGAGCAGAAGGGTCTCAAGTCTAAGGAATGGAAGCCCGAGGGCTTTCCTGATGAAATCGCTTCTGAAAAAGGTTCAGATCTGGATAGCGTTGACTGGAAAGCCATCCAGGAAGGGGCTAACTCCATTGTTACTTGGCTGCACCAAGCTACTTCTTCTATCGGCAAGGAGACGTCCTCGGAATCGGACTCCATTTTGTCTTTTATGTCTGGCCTTTCGGCAAGTTCTGCTTTACAGCTGAGTTTGGACAGAAGAGACAAGACCCGGGGCAGGAAAGGCCCCACTGGTGGTGTGGAGAAGAAAAATCTCCCCAAATCTTTCCAACATGGCAAGAATCTGAATGAAACGAGAGGGGCTGGCAGCAGGAATAAGACGGAGAAAAACGTAGGCCAGCAGAAACCACTGAGCAACATCCCCGTCGTCTTCCGAGGCAGGACGGTGATCTACATGCCTGATGCTGCCAAGGAATCCCCAGTGCAGAGTTCCAGGTCCACCCCAAAGAAAACGGGAGGGCCCACTAAGCAGGAAATTCCTGAGAAAACTCTGAATCTCAACCAACCGAGATCCAGGAGTCTTCACCGGCCTGGGAAGATCTCAGAAATGGTGGAATTGATGTTGCCCAAAAGAAGTGCAACTCCGCCCGCCAGGATGAACAGAGCACCGTCGTCCGGATCCTCCAGAACGTCCACGCCGTCCCAACCCAACCCAAAGAAACTCACATCACCATCGCAGCAACCCGGCAGACAGACGCCGTCACGTGAAGCTGGAAAGACCAGTGGAAGCACCACACCCGTTGGCCCTGCCCCCAAACCGGTCCAGAAGTCCCCTGTGTCTAAGCAACACAAGACCCAGAAATCGCCTGTCCGCATCCCTTTCATGCAGAAGCCCGTTAAGAAGACGCTTCCGATGAGGAACACTATGCCTACACTGGAGGAACGAGGAGGAAATTGCAGCAGCGAGCTAAGGGCTAAGGTCAACGGGAAAGGTATTCTCCAGGCCAACCGCCTTAATTTGATGCGCATGTCCTCAGCGAGATCCCTCAGCAGTGACTCCCACCAGTCAGGCTTCCTACGGCAGCTGACGTTCATCAAGGAGTCCCCGAGTCTTCGCATGAGGCAACGCTCCGAGGTCTCATCTTCCGAGCCTTTGTCTTCACTCTCTCAGGGTGCCTCGCCACGGAGAGGCCGCCTTGGCCTGCCGACCGTTTTCCTCTGCTCTTCCAGGTGCGATGATCTCAAAGTGGACAAGCCAACTGGGTCCAGCCAACGTCCTGTCATTTCCCGCACGCCCCTTCTCAGCCAGAGCCCCTCTGCAGGAGTCCCCAGAAGGCCGCCCCGCAGGACGAGCTCAGAAAGCCCCTCCCGACTTCCTCTCAAGTCCAACAACGTTCCTCCCGAGCCTTTCAAGCGTTATTCGTCCTCTCCTCAAATCAACATCATCAAGAGGGCCGCCAGCCCTGCTTCTACTCCATCGGACAGCCCTGAGCCCTCAAGTGGGAGGAAAAAGAACGAGGAGGTCTCAAAACTACCGGTAATCCCTCCTGCAGAAAAAGGCACTGAAAATCAACAGCGTCAGCGGCCACAACAACAACCACAGCCGCAGCAGCCACCACCACAGCCACAGCCACAGCAGCCACAGCCACCGCAGCAGCCGGCAATGGTGAAAGGGACCTGGAAGAGGATCCGTGACGAGGACATACCCCACATTCTGAAGAGCACCCTTCCTTCGACGGCGTTACCCCTGGTTAGCGCTTGGCGGGAAGAAGAGAGCGATCAGACACCCGGAGTCCTCCAGCCAAAGACGAGTGATGCGGTTGTGCAGACGGAAGACTTCTCCACCACAAAGACTAATTCCAGCACCTCCCCTACGCTGGAGAGCCAGAAGGCCGTCCAGATCCCACCCGACAGCTACGAAGGAGACGGCTTTGCTCTCGCGAAGGCCACCACCGCGTCCATCTCCTTTACTCACGAAGGGTCAGTCAGCTCTCTTGGGAATTTCCCTTCCAGCAGGCACAGCTCCCCAAGCCGGGCTGCTCGGGTGACCCCGTTTAATTACACCCCCAGCCCAATGGTGGAGCCCACAGTCAAAGAGAAGCAGGTGGAGAAAACACAAGTTTGACAGCCTTCCAGCTTGGACTGACAAAGTACTGGAATGTTCCTAGCTAGCCACCAAGATATATACATATAAAACAAAAAACCAAGCTTGGATGTATTCATTTTTTAAGAAGTTACATTTGTCGTTTTACCCCCAACGACCCCCATTCTTAACCAAACAAGGAAGGCTGTGCGTTTCTTATGCACACAAGACTCGCTTCTTGTGAGACATACAAAAGACTACACACAGGAACAAAACGCACAGGTAGATCCTCGACTTACAACCACAACTGGGGCCGGATTTTCCGTTGCTAAGCAAAGCAGTTGTTAAGTTAGTTGCACCTGACTTTATGCCTTTTTTTTTTTTGCCCCGGTTAAAAAAAATGACTGAAATTGTGAAGTGAATCGCATGGTTGTTAAGCAAATCTGGCTTCCCCCCATTGTCTTGGCTTGTCGGGATCTAGCTGGGAAGGTTGCAAAGGATGATCAAAGCCTGGGATGCCAAGCATTCGAATTCTGATCACATGACCACGGGGGGGCGGGGGGGATGCAGCCACAAATTGTTAAGTACAAGGACCGGTTGCACGACCACTTTTTTTCAGTGCCGTTGTAACTTTGAACAGTCGCTAAAGAAACGACTGAGCCGAGGTGGCGCAGTGGTTAAATGCAGCACTGCAGGCTACTTCAGCTGACTGCAGTTCTCAGTTCGGCTGTTCAAATCTCACCGGCTCAGGGTTGACTCAACTTTCCATCC